CAAGACAAAAAATGCTGTTAATTCAAGATTTCAGACAACAAAATAAAGAAACAATTTCACCAAAGCATGACCAGATGTATTATAATTTTCATGAGTAAAAAAATTCAAACATTTTATGAAACATAAAGCTGTTGATCATTAATGAATGTTTTTGACTGAAAATACACAAATTAAATCAAAAAATTACCATCCCCTCCCCATCCAGTTCCACTGGACACACTGTGGGTGGGGGTAGGGGTGGGGTTTAGCCATTGGAACCTTGTATTTAAGGGCAAGACGCAGTCAAGCCATTAAACATTTATGGCCATATAAGCCCTAAATATATGAAACTAGTCCATGCCAAACTTTTACATGTAAGGAATATAAAATACGTTTGGTGAAGTATTACATCGCCACTACTGAAATGTTGCTTTAGTTGAAGGAAAACCTATGATCCGCTAAATGGAACAGAAGAAATACCACAAAACTCAGAATCAAAATGTTTGTAGAAAGTAGCATTACAATTGCTTCTAATATTTTGGTTTAATTCATGGATGTGATTGAAATTAAATATATATTTCTATACAAAGATTTGTATATATGTACTGTATATGCCATTATTATTATATACATTCAAAGCAGACTAGTTAACCCTGCATCCCAACAATTGTTACATCCAAATTGAAATGAAAAAACCTGGAATATGCACCAAAAGTAAAAATGCTCTCTTAAGTACTGATCAAATGCAATATCCTTTTCGGACATTTGACTAGTTTGGGTGTAACAGGAGGTGGGGCATTTAAACACTATTTTTAATATAGAGGATGAGAATTTGAACTAAAACTTCAGAAGTTCAAATGTTGGGTTTTGGATGTTGAAGTATCCAATAAATTGATCAGCACATGACAAAAATCATAAACTTTGCCCTCTAGTTTATTAGATAAACCATACCCTGTCTGAGAATGAAAATATTGTTCTCCAAATGATCACTCATGATCTGGAACAGTTTCTAATGCATCTTCTTCAGTACGGTTGACTGAAACAACCTTGGGCTTTTCCCTGTGTGTGTTTACAGCAGGGATCTTCAAATCGAACTTCTCCACACGGCAGCCATACGCGACTGGGGTGAGCTTTATGACGGTGTGTAGAGGCACTCGCAAATAGGGCAGCTCTTCAGAGTTGTGGTCAAGGAAGTAGGCTAAGAGGCACCGCGCCACTGCTTGGTGACAAATGACGAGGACATTATGCTGCCTTTCAAGTTCCATGATAACTGGCTCTAAGCGGGCAACAAGATCTTCGTAAGACTCCCCGCGGACATACCGGTAATGAAATTTATCCTCATCTCGTCTAGCAAAGTCCTCTGGAAACTGCTCTTGAATTTCTTCGTATGTCATTCCCTCACATACTCCAGCGTCAATTTCATTGACAGCCTTCCATATTTCAATTGGTCTGTCTATAAAACTAGCCGTCTGATTGGTTCTTTTCAATTCACTTGTCCAAACTTTGAGGTCGGCTGGCATGCTCTCTTTGACGAACTTCCCCAGGACTTTACTGTACTCCCAGCCCCTTTCAGTGAGATCAGAATCCCCACCGATCCTACCTTGCAAATTCATCATGCTTTCACCGTGTCTTGACAAGTAGATGGCTCTAGGGGTGATGTGAAGATTCATTATGTAATACACTATTCTACTTTGCAAGTAGCCTTCCACTTTATTCATCAGAAACCTCTTACCACCATCAATCACTTTAAGAAATGGCATGTTAAGATCATGATCCAAAGAAATTGGTTCATAATAATCATTATAATGGTTTATCCGGGCTTCGAAATCTTGACAAGCTTCTTCTGAGGGGACCCCCTGATAGTCAGGCGAGTTGACTTTCACCTCTAGAATATTGGAACGTATGATCTCTTTGTCGTCGCAAACTGACTCGACGAAAAAACCCTTGAAACCATGGGTGGCGAGATGATCGGTGACTTTCGTTCTTCTTGCTCGAGTGGTGTTTGTAGCGTCAAAGATGGCTACCTGCCCCTTATCGTTCAACCATTTCGTTATGTCTTCAAGAGCTAGTTCTGCGCACTTTTCGCGAACGTTCATACCATCAGCATTGGTCGGATCGAAGAACGAGTGCTTGCAATGAGCGCCGGCCATCTCACGACGATATTCACCAAGGTTAAATACCTTCGTGTTCACACCGATCCAGTTGAGGTAGCGAGCAAGCTTTCTAGAGACATACGTTTTGCCTCGAGCCGGTAAACCCACCATGACTATGCAAGTGGGTACGTGTACAATAGGAGGACACGAAGCGGGATAAAGAGAACGATTCATCTTGGCAACTGAAGATATTCTCCCCTGAAAAGATTATATCAATTTCAGGTAGTTGTAAATGACGCTTTGCGAGTAATTTATGGCACACACTTCCAGTTGGAAGATGGACTTTGCCAAGTGGTTCTCGATGTTGGCCAAGCTTCTAATGTAAATAGGATCGAAAATTGCGTAAGCTGACCAATGAAAAGGTGTTCTTTGGAACCAGTCACGAGATAGCAAGTAGTATTCTGACCAATCACCTTTGAGAAAAATAAACCAATCATGAATGTAGGCGCGAACTTATAAATCGCCGGTAGCATTACTTTCATCATTTTCCATCTCTTTTCCTAAGGTGTAGACTTAAGGTTTGTTATCGATGGCTCGTACCAAGCAAACAGCGCGTAAATCTACTGGAGGTAAAGCACCTCGCAAACAGCTTGCAACCAAGGCTGCAAGGAAGAGTGCCCCAGCAACCGGTGGCGTGAAAAAACCGCATCGTTACAGGCCCGGAACTGTCGCTCTTCGTGAAATTCGTCGGTACCAGAAGTCCACAGAGCTGCTGATTCGCAAGTTGCCTTTCCAGCGTCTTGTGCGCGAGATTGCTCAAGATTTCAAGACGGACCTTCGCTTTCAGAGTTCAGCAGTGATGGCCCTTCAGGAGGCTAGCGAAGCGTACCTTGTTGGTCTTTTTGAAGACACCAACTTGTGCGCCATCCACGCCAAGCGTGTCACCATCATGCCGAAAGACATTCAGCTCGCCCGCCGAATTCGCGGAGAACGCGCGTAAACCGACGCGTCAAGAAAACAAAAACGGCTCTTTTAAGAGCCACCAAATATTAAAAAAGTCAATGACCAATAATGAATATTGGATCTTCTGTGGCGTTGAGCTAAAATTTCAGTCAAACCTTGCTATCTGTTTAACCTTTACTTACTTAGATCACACTGAAGCTTCTTTTGGCTCAGAAAGTGCTTTCCCATCCTGATAACAAAGGAAGAAAAATAGGGTGAAATAAGGTAGCTGCTTGTGGCTCTTCCCTTAACCCGCGAAATACGCGTTCGAGTGAGAATTAGGGTGCGTTCCTTTGGGCTGGACTGGATTAGTGGTCCAAGATCACTCGGATCAGGGTGCATGAAACCGTGACTAGAGTGGATTTATCGGCCTATTTGATGTACCATGATCGTCTTGGATCACTAATCCAGAT